CACACCCCTACAGTTTTTTCTTTCAGGTACTATAGAGGAGGATACAGACTGGTCCACTGTCCAGTTGATTGAGTCTTGTACAACGTTAGTGTGATACCACGCAGGTTGAGTGTCGGTATGACTAATCATTGGGCCGTGCGTTATATTTGTGAGAACTTATTATGGCCGGTTATTAGTATATATTTGTAAATAGACTCAACAAGCATACTTTATGATCAATGCTATGTGGGTGTGAAATTTTGTATATGTCTATTACCTGGTAGATAAACAATTAACACAGGTGTTTTATATATGAAACATGTTATGAGACAAGTTTTACCATCATGCTTAATGACTAAGGTGATGGGTGGTGTTGTTACTCCTATGGGATTATTTAATGTCTGATTAGTCCAGATTATAATAATTGTCAACAGGTGTATCAAAAATCTAGTTGCATCTCATCCTTGGGAGACCGAGATGGGGCGTGACAGTGTCTGTTAAACCTTGTACATGGTATTAATGAATACCACTGACCCTATCTTGCTGGTAAAAGTGAAAGGACAGTACAAGAGAAGAAATTGACACAAATGCGCTTCTGTATAGTATCCCCAAATAAAAGCCAATTTTCTACAAAAAAACCCTAGCCACTCGCCTTTCTCAATTCTGAAACACTTGTTAGACATCTCTCTCAACGATGCTGAAACCCTAGCCATGCTCAACGATGTCGAAACCCTACCAACTCTGAACAATGGGGAAACCAAGCCATTATCAACGATGTTGAAACCCTAGCCACTGTTAACGTTGCTGAAACCCTGACGACTTTGAACGCTGTTGAAACCCTAGCCACTCTCAATGCTGCTAAACCCTTTTTTTTTTGCAAACTGCACATAGGTACATTCTTATGAAGCTTCTCAAATTTTTTGTCAACATCGATTACGCTAATACTGTGTTAATGCTGTAAGATGGGAAGACGATCGCTGGCTATCTGGCCTATGTCGACCTCTGTGGGAAAGATTGGTGGCGATCTGGTACTTTGGTCTTTTTAAATTTTCAATTGTTGATGCGCTCAGAATGTCCAAATTTTTTTTAACCATTTGTTTTTTGGAAAGTGAAATACAAGACCAAAATATTTTTTTCCTTGTTTTAGTCGCTGGACCTATTCGATTTTTGGGTAGTTTCTTCTCTTATTTGTTGTGGAATGTTCCCCCTATCCATATTTTAGCCCTTATAATGTTAAGAATGTTTGTCTGATTTTATTTTGAGTCCAACAATTATGATTTTTTTATATTTTAACAAAAAAGATGTATTCTTTGTTGTGTGATGATATCTAATGAATGTTTGCTCTTGTAATATGTTTTGTTTTGGTAATTTAAAGCGTTCCATAACAAGCATTGCTTGTTGACTGTGGATGTTTACTGTAATTTGTGTGAGTGGCAGTTGTTATGGATGAAGGCAATGATCTCAGTGTGCCATTGGTGGTTATTTTGGACAGTGTCCTCTCTGATATGGTTATGATATGCTTAAGTTTGATTACTGTGATTGCAAATTTGTTGGAATTTCATGAAATTGAAAACAACAATAGGATCCCAAGCTCAGTCACGCGAACCCGACTGCAAATAGAGCATCTTAATAGATTGATAGGTGAAAGTGATATAACATGTTACAATCAACTTAGGATGGATAGACAATATTTTTCTATATTGTGCACACTCATTGAACAGGTTGGTGGGCTCAGTCGTACAAGAAATATTAGAATTGAAGAGATGGAAGCTATGTTCTTGAGCATTATTAGTCATGATCATAAGAATAGACCAGTCAAATTTAGTTTCATTAGATCCGGTAAGACGATTAGCAAGTATTTTAATGCAGTGTTGTTGGCAGTTCTTAGGCTAAGTTGATTATTGCTTGCAGTCCTTGATCCAATCACAGATGAATACACTGACCCTAAGTGAAAGTTTTTTAAGGTATTGAGAGATTTTTTTAAAGTATATCCACCTTTGGGTTGTCATGTCACGTAATATGTAGTTCTCAAAATATTAGTTGATAATATATTTATTTCCTATTGTATAGAATTGTGTTGGGGCTTTAGATGACACTCACATTAGAGCAAAAGTGTCACTTGTGCACCAAGCAAGATATAGGACAATGAAGGGACAAATTGTAACAAATGTGTTAGGAGTATGTACGCCTGACATGAGAATCATTTATGTTTTGCCTGGTTGGGAGGGATCGGTGGCAGATTCAAGAGTCCTTTGCAACGCAGTTACAAGACGTACTAGGTTACATGTTTAACGGGGTAAGCTATAGTGGAAATTTTTAGTGCATTTTTTATTTTGTGGACATTGTGTACTAATGGGTATATACATAATTACGACAGACACATATTATTTATGTGATATTGGGTACATGAATGGTGAGAGTTTCTTAGCTCCTTTTAGGGGTTAACGATACCATTTTGATGAATTTGAAAGTGGAAACGTAGCTCCTCATAATGCCGAGGAATATTTCAACCTAAAACATTCCTCCGCTAGGAATGTTATTGAGAGGTGTTTTGCTCTCCTCAAGATGTGATGGGCAATCCTTCGAACTGCCTATTTCTACCCTATCCCCACACATAACATAATTATTGTTGTTCGTTGTCTGTTACATAATTTTATTAGAAATGAGATGCCAGTTGACCCATTGGAAGACCACAAACTTGAGTATGTTCTTAATGAGGACGATGGCAATATCAACACCAATGTAGTTGAAAGTGTTGAGACCTCTACTGCATGGACTGCTTGGAGGAATTAGTTGGCAAACAAAATGTACGAAGCATGGCAAATGGGTAGATGAATTTGGGGGGGGGGGAGGGGTTATTTTGCGACCTTCAATTAGTAGACTAAATGGTGGATATGTTTCTAATGTGTTATTGGTACTTTTTCTGCTTTGATTAATTGTTGTCTTGAATCTTAAGGAACACAATTTATTTGATGGTGTTATTATGTTATATATTTGACATTTGTTATATTGTAATTGATTTTACATTGCATATTCGCTTTACACTGACACACACACACACACACATATATAGCAAATATGGACAAATACAGAAAAGACACAACTATTATATGCACTGAAGGATCTATGTGCAGCAGGGTTGAAGTGTCCTAATGGTACATTCAAGTGAGGTTAGCTGCAAATGCTAGAACAAAGAATTGGCAGCAGTACGTTTCGTGCACAACCACATATCAAATCAAAGATAAAAATGTGGAAGAGACAGTATAATAGTATACTATCTATGATGAACACGAGTGGCTTCGAGTTTAATGACACTAATAACAAAATTGTGGTTGATTTTGATGATGTTTGGGAAGAGTATTTAAAGGTAATTTGGTATGGTATACCACTTTCTAATTAATAGAGGTCTTTTGTTATTTTCAATACTCAACTTATTCAAGGCATGTTCTTTCGTGGTATAATTATTGTAGAAAGATAAAGAGGCTAGAGGGATGCGTGAAAAATGTTGGCCATACTACAAAGATTGGGATATTATTTTTGGTAAGGATCGCGCAATAGGAGAATTTGCAAAGGATCTTGATGAAAAGGTTGGAGAGAATGACAATGAGGATACACACCATGAAGTTGACCCGTCAGGCATTAACAATGAAAATGAGACCAATGGTGCAAGTCATAGTACTGCTCAAGGCATGAATGTTTTCACTGACAACCCCACTACCAAAAAGATGAAGAAGAGAAAGGCTTTGACAACTGTTGAGGTCATTGCAAGTAGCTTGGGTGATATGACCAGGGTCTTAGGTGATTATGTTGCTATTTGTGGTCGTAAGCTTGATAATATCGCACATAGGGTAGGCCATGCCCAAGATGTTTCTAAATCAAGGAGAAGAATCTTTGCTGAGCTTGAGAAAATTGGGTGGCTTGATGAGGATCTACTTTATGAGGCTAGTTATAGAATTTCCTTTGATTTGGTTAAGCTGGACTTGTTCTTTACCATGTCTGACGCTTCAAAGCCATCTTGGGTAAGGAAGTTGTTGTATGGAGCGAGCTACCAACAGGTGTAGGGTTGGGTAATATTTCTTTTTGACGTGATATAGGTGAAATTAGTCATATAAGACCTTATAAAGTGATATGATATATTGTCCACTTTTTTTACTTGTTCACCTATGTCCGTATGTAATATATGGTTATGTCCGTATGTAAAATATGGTTAAGTACGTATGTAAATTATTTCATATAAAGTTTGAATAACTTAGCCGTAGTTGCATTATGTCGTTATGTTTATTAACACTTGCTTTTTATATTGGTATGCACTTGCATAGAAATGTACTAACATGTTTAGTTAGATAAGTGATGCACAGGAGAACACGCTTTTACGTCGTGTTTGTTGGAAGACAAGTTGGAGTCTATACGACATGGCAAGAATGTCATGTGCAAGTGAATAGGTACCCGAGTGCGTTGTACAAGTCTTATGACTTGTACATCGAGGCTAAAAATGCATTGCGCACATACATTGCGAATGAAGATGTCGTAAGAGATGTCCAATATGAATGTGATGTGGTTGTCCATCATAATCAACCTCTGGATAATCTTTGTGTAGAATATGCAATGTACATTCCTCTAGTAGCCTCGACAGTTGTTAGGCGCGATGAAGAGGGTCAGGGAGACCGTAATGTTGGTAATTATCTCATGTATGTTGTGATGTTTGTTTTGGGTATGGTACTAACCCATATTTTTTACATTTTTTCAGGTAGACTTTCTTGAACTATGTTTGTATTTTGTTTGACACTTTTTGGACAATCTTTAAGGTTAGTGTTTGGTGCTCTATTTAGATGTACGTAGTAATGTTACTTCCTATGTTTTGACATTAACTGGAGAATGTATGAATATGATGTACAATATGAATGGATTTCTATTGTAATTGATTTTTGTGTTATGATATGATTGTTTTGTTTAATGAATTTGTATAAATTGGTGGTGTGTCAATGGTTTGTGTATTTGGTTAGCACAATATTATATAGAAAATGTTGGCTCCTCAAATTGTTGCTGTAGAAAATGATGTCTTGATGGCTTTATTGCTTCGAAACAAGCAACGAGGCAGCATGACAGCCCAACACTTCAGGGATCTGTTAAGGCGGATGAAAGGGAGGTTGCCTGCATTTAGCATGAATCAGATTAACATTGAGAAGATTATTTTTTTTTGGAAGAAGCAGTACTTCACTCTAAATTCTATGTTGAAAACGAGGATGTTTGCTTGGGACTTGACAAACTTGTGCGTCGTTGATGGACCGATTGCTGGAGCGCGTGACTACCTAGTGGTAAGTGTTTAATTGAAAACTATAATAATAAATATCATGTTATGTCTCTTTGTTTTATTTGTTTTCACCCTTTGCTTGAATTCTTGATGCGTTTAAAAGTGATTAACTTGTAGGCAAACAAGTTTGCTAGATTTTGGTGCATTGAACCATGTCCTTTGTTCAAGAAAATGATGGAGGTTTTCGACAACGTGTCCCTAAAAGAGCTGATTGAAAGTGTGGGCTCCTGTTCGAGTGGTGATCCAACAGAAGACATAAAGTTTATTGATGCTTCTGATTAAGCATGATCCCTGTCATATTATGACTGTATATATATGCTTTCCACATGCCATTTTGGTTTTTGGGTATGAATGCATGTGGAGCCAACTGTATATTATGAATGGGTTTGAATGGTCAAACTTGGTTTCTGTTGATGATGTTTGGGGAGTTTCATCTTTTAGGAATGTTGGTGTTTATATTATATAAGTTAAAAATGTTTATGGTGGATGTTTTAAACTTGCTTATGGAGCCAGCTGTATTGCTATTTGGTGGCAGTTGATGTGCTTGCACTGGTATCTTATATTTGACGTTATATATGTTGATGTGTTGTGCATGCAGTTTGTTTTTTGTAAAAGGAATGGTAGTGTTGTGTGTATTGTGCTTGAACCGATATTCAGACATTATTCCAATGGGGATTTTGTTGTGAGTTTGTTGTAGTGTTAAGGCTGGAAAGATGGACATATTCTTGCAAAATATAAAGTAGTCATTGTTGCTGCAATTGTTTTGTGTGTTTAAGGTTGATTCTATGTGTGTGTGGGTGTGTGTTACTTGGGAGATAATTGCAACAGTGCATGCAAACCATGTGGAACAAAAAAACAAAAGAAAAAAAACAAGGTTTTGGTTTTAGTTATGCATAGGTGGTTGTACTAACAAACAAGGGAATGGATTGCTTTGAATTATATGGTTATAATTATTTTTTACATTGAATAGTTCATCTGATACACCTTTTTTGGTAGGTATGACATAAATAATTTTTATAAGAAACAAACAAGGGGAATGATGGAATAAAAGTTTAAGACCAGGTATAGTATCTCATTGAGTAGGAGTGGAATGTATATCATTTCCAATACCACCCATAATTAATCCCCCAAACAAACATACCCTAAGTTGTTGCGCATTTTACCAAGTCAATAAATTTAAGGGTTGGTTTGGTTGTAATATTAAAGGGTGTACTAAGAGCATCTTCAATCCATATCTTTTTTTAAATCTAATTTTAAATTTGAATAAAAAAAACTCTTAAAAATATTCTCCAATACATATATCAAATTAAAGAAGACTCAAATCCATACTTAAAATCTTTAATGGTCAAATTTTACCCTTTTTGAAGTATTCAAAGGTCATTTTTTATCGTCTTTTAAATTTGAGTTTATCCTCATTTAAATTTAGAATTCTCTTCTTTTAAATTTGAATTTTTCCATTGGAGAGGTCTATATAAAATTGAATTTTTTATCTTTTTTTTTTATTCAAATTTTGATAAAGGTTTGAGTTTTCATTGGAAATGGTCCAAGGAGTCATACTTGATTAACACTTTCAATTCAACCATATTAAATTATAAAGTTACTATTTTGTCCATCAGATCAACAAAAGTACGATTAATTAAACTAGATTGATAATTTTTTAGTCAATATATAATTAATACTATGGGATAATTGAATCAATGTTAGTTTGGATTGGATAACTATTATCTCACTCGTAATTTAACGTCTTACCAAATACTGAATTACAATGTATAATATTTTTGTAATCTATTTAATCTTTTATTTTATCTGCTTATATGGAATTAGTCTGAATTATTTTTTTATTTTTTAAAGAGGAGGGGGAGGGGAACTTGAACCCTTAATTTCAAGAAGACAAAACATTTACAAGATAAGAAGTATCATTGGACTAAATGCTCATTAGTATCTAAATTACTTAATACAATCATTTCTTTTACAATATAATAACCAAGTGAGCCTTAAATGTAAAAATACTTCAAATCAACATCCTCCTAGACTAGATATTCTTAAAGATAGTGTTGCAATTATTTCAATTTATCTAATGTATTGTGAGATGCCCACTTTTTTTTCCCCTTCAAATATGTGCAAAGCTCCATAGTTATGAGAATAAGCGGCTGAGCTTCTGGCCTTGTGCTGCCAATGTACTAATATCTACATGTCAATGATTTTGTCTATAATATCCAAATAATGTAATTAATGTGATTGGATTGATTTGTATTAACAAAAACATTCAAACGTTCCTTTTTACATATGGTACCAAGGGCAATAGTTAATCCAAAAATTAGAAGTGATGCTCCCAAATATTCATAAACTAGGATAATTTGTGTCGTTCCTGAATTCACGGTGCAATGTAAGTGAGAAGTGGTAGATTTAAGAGAGGGAGAAAAATTCAATATGAATGATTTCGATAGGAATGTTAGTGGCCGTTATATGAATCTATTTAATACCGTCGGATGACTTATTAAAATTTGTTTTATTTTATATTATACATTTATTTTTTCACAAATAAAATATGATTAAAGATAATCAAGCTTAATATAAGCACTAAATGCTACAACAACCCTTAGTTAGTTGCATTAAATCTTAAAAGATGTTGGGCAATTTGTTTTGTCTAATTTTAAAAAACTTATAAAAAGTATTTTATAATTTAAAACATAAACTGAAGATGGTGTAATTTTATCGTTATAAAGAATTATAATGGTTTTTTTTTCCCAACCATATCGAATAAAAAAAAGTATTTTTACAAGTCAACTATAGCATATCAATATAATAAAACAAAATACATCACTTACATAAAGTACAATAAACAATCTAAATTATTTAAATTCGGTGGTCTTTGTTACGGCTTAGATTTTAAGCAGTTATAATGAATTGATCTATTTACATCTAATTTTTTAATTACAATTAATTTTGCAATCACAATTTTTTTTTAAACAGTGTGTTTTGAATGAATTACCCTAGTTAATATAAAATTGTAAGATAATTATGCAGTTACACAGACAGACCTATAGGAATGAAATGCTAATGGCAAATCACATAGGATAGGATAAATTATAATTTATTTAAAAAAATAAATAAAGGAGACTGAGAATGATACGCCATGTGCCAGCTTGGTCCCGTCAGAGGCAGCTATATCCGATTGGAGTAAATATTCAAAGAAACATCTTTTATATTTTAAATCTACACTTATACCTTTTTCTAAATTTTTTTATGTATTAAAATTCTAATCGATTAAAATTCGATTCAAAGTAATTAAAATTTTCACATATTAAAATTTGAGTCAATTAAAAATTATATTTTTTACATGTCAAAATTTGAACCGATTAAAATTCTATTTGAGCCAATTAAAAATTATTTTTAATCGACTCAAATCAAATTTTAATTACTTGCATTGAATTTTGATCGGCCCAAAATTTTAATAAATAAAAAAATATAAATTTTAATTTGACTCAAATTTTAATTGACACGAATTTTAATAAGTATAAAAATATATCTTTTAATAGTCTCGAATTGAATTTCAATCGGCGCTAACAACTCGCGTAAAGCTCATATCTACTCAAATTTTAATACATAAAAAAATAATTTTAATAGGCTCAAATTTTAATATAGAAGAAAAATAAAATTTAATCACCTCAAATCGAATTCTAATTGATCCAAATTTTAATATGCAGAAAAATAAATTGTTATCAACTCGAATTTTAATATGTAAAAAAAAAAATTTTAATTTGGTCAAATTTTATGTAAAAAAATTATTTGGGATTTATGTAGAACCATTTTTGGCATTTTAGATGATTTTATTTTGTTAAAAATGGTGGTTTAATGTCTGTCAGGGATGTTTAGATATAAATAAAAAAGAATATCAATAATTTTTTAATAATAGAAGAGTTTTCTTAAAAATATATTAAACTAAAAAGGGGAGTAACTGAAATTTTCTTATTCTTATTAAATGATAAGATGATAAATAATGATAAGATCTCACCGTTATTTTTTCGGAAAGTACCATCAGATATTTTCTCCTCAATTGAGTCATGCAAAATTACATTTATGTCATCAATGTACTGGCCTTTTTTTAAAGAAACCAATCACACACCAACAAATCTTGATTATAAGAATAGACTTCTTCATCACTCCATAGCCGTACCCGAATCTCTCTCTCTCTACCTATTTTTTCTCTAGCTCCACAGACAAATGTATAATGTTGCATCTGTAAATGCATTCCATAAATTTCGTTTCTCTCTCTCTCGGGATCTGGGTCGCCTTTATTTTCCAGAAAAAACAAAGTTAAGATTTGATTTGTTAAGACGTTATCTTCCTTATTGATTTCTATTTTTCACACACATTCTGTTTCACCACGCGCCAACGGACCCATCTTTGATTCTTTTGAATTAGCTGCTTATATTATGATTATGAATGTGCACATATGATAATGTACTGAAGTTATTCAATGATCGAGTTGCAGTGAGTCATCAAGACTGAGTTGACCAAGGTATCCACAAGGTTTTTTGACATAATATTTTGGGTATTCTTCATGTTTTGCAGTCAAATCTGAGTTGGGTTTCTATCTTTCTTGTTTCAGAGAGTTCAAGATTTGATTTCTGTAGAGATTTATGGCTCACCCGTCAAACCATAGGTTTAGTCCTCGGGTTGGCAGATTACTACTGGTTTTATTGGGTTTGTTGTTCGTTGGTTACCTTATAGGAACACCATTGTTGAGGCACTCTAAGGACAATTCAAGTGATCAGAGTTCATGTCGTTTATGTGAATGTGATTGCTCTTCAGAACCCCTCCTCTCCATGCCATCAGGTGAGTTCATCTCTCACTAACTCTTATAACTTTTTGGAGAAGGAACATGTTTAATAATTTGCTTTTTTTGTGTATGATCTTGCTTTTGCAAGAAGTGCGTTGGTCACCACAGTAGCATGGCAATGATCTTCACATAATGATGCTTTATTAGATATGGAACTGTGGGTTCAATTGTTTTGTTTATGTAGTTTCTCTGCTTAGGTATTCTAACAGTCCTCAATTATTAATTTTTTTTCCTAAACTATTAGGTTATTAGTTTGAGATCAAGAAATTGGACAAAAAAAAGATATTAGAGCATGTGGTTTGATGGAATTATGGCTATCATAGTAGGCTTACTCTGCTTTGAGGCCATATCTTTTTGCCTTAATTATCGATAAATTGACTAGACATATTCGAGATGACATCCATGACATATCTTATTTATAGATGATATAGTATTAATTAATGAAAGTAAAGAAGGAATTATAATAAAATAGAAATTTGATGAGAGCCTCTAAAATCAAAAGAATTTAAGATTAGTAGGTTAAAACTGAATATATGAAATGTAACTTTAGTAAAAGAATGAATCCAAATCAGTAAGTAATAAAAATTGAATATTAAGAGATACCAAAAAGTGAATACTTTGATTACATAAGGTTAATTATTCATAAGTAGTTTGAGATTGATGACGATGTTCTTGTGGAATTAAAGCATGATAGACTAAATGGAAGAATGTATTTGATGTATTGTGTGATAGATGCATACCTCTTCAGGTAAAATGAAAGTTTTATAGGACGGTCATAAGACTCGCTATTCTTTGTGGTACTAAGTGTTGGGTAATTAAGAAATAATATGTTTAAGAATTAAGGAGTTGTGTTGTAGTTTGGCTCTTGTTCATCAAAAAAAAAAAATATGTTTAAGAATTGAGTGTGGTGGAAATTAGGAATGAGAATATATGTGAAAAAGTAGAGGTAACACATATATGAGATAATTAAGGGACAATACTCTTAGGTGGTTTAGACATTTATCGACGATCTACTACGAGATCGGTGAGAGAGTGATATGAGAACTATTGACGGTAAACAAGGGGTAAAGGGAGACTAAAATTAACTTTAAATGAAATGGTTATGAAGATAACATAACATATAATGTAACAAGAAGTATGACACTTAATGAAGCCCAATGATGAAACGAGATTCATGCAGCTAATCTAAAAAATATTGGGACAAGGCTTTGTTGAATTGAATTGGGTTGAATATGACGAAAATATGTTTTATGTAGTGAACCACAAAGTATTGGGAATAAAATTTTATTAAGTTGAGTTGAGATACATCCCCTTCCCTCTTATTCTTCCAGTATAATAGTTGCCCTTGCCCCGCTAACGAAGAGTCTTCCAAGCCCTAAGTGTGCTGAGTGCTTAGCACTGAATTAATAGCATCACTTCTACCACTTGCATAGCATATTGGTAGTAGCTACAAGACAAAAAACGAAATCAAGAACGCAAGATAAGTGATTTTTAAATGGTACTGACCCTTGATTGCATTACAGAGGAAGAGCCCCTCCGCTTTGAGTGGTACGATAATATTTTCTCATGGACACATCTAATTTATCTACTGGGATATTTTAATCATTATATTTTTAGGGATTTGGTTAAACTTATAAACAAAATGTGCACAATAAGCTAGAGGTGTACTAGGAAAGATAATAGTAGATAATTTGGTCAGTTGGAAAGAAGTACTATAGTTTGATGTTTCAGGATATTTATTTGATTTGATTTTTTAGTTTTTCCTTTTTTCACATTCCATGAGCATGGACTCTTTGTGACACTGACATTTTTTGTGAGAAAGACATTAAATCATTTGGTACAATTTGGGGAAGAGTAACCTATAGTGCCATTGTGAAATTTTGTCCTTGTGACTTCATTCTTTTTGAAGTAGTCAAGGATCTAAAATTGATTTCACAAAAAGGCATGCCGTAGCTTTTAGGGAAAATGAAGAAATTTGATCTTCTGCCTTATATTATGGCAGTGAAGGGATGTCATTCTCCTTTCACAACTTCGTATTTAGAATAGGACAAGGGATAGTATTTCAAGTAAGATGGAAAACAAACTGGGTGGTGGAAGAGGACTCATTTTTCAAGAGGGGGATTCACTACGATTTTTAAAACTATGTCTAGTTTAGTTGCTACGCATCATATTTCCCATCATAGAAGCACTATTCCCTCCATATTAGCTTTAGTGCCATTTTGTTGACTGGGATTCCATTTTCTTGTTGTGAGAGGTTTTTCAATTGGGAATTGGACATTGATTATGTTGAACTAAGCTTTTTGTATAAATGGTTCTGGAGATTTGTGCTGGAGAAGACCTTTTGGTTAGGGAAACTGTGGACTGGTGTAGCAGATATCTTTATGATGACCATGGGATATACCTTTTGGAAATCTTGATCAACTAAAGTGATTCTTTTAAGAAGTGGATAGGGTTAAAATGTTGGAAGGAAGTGGTGGAGAGGTTTGATATGGGAAGCTGTGCTACAGAAGAATACGTGCATCTTCATGTGGTACTTGAAAATGAAGCAACGACTTGTAATTGTCAGGATTGGAAAGCAGAAAGTTTTGGTGTTTTTTTTTGGGCAGGGGGTAGGTATTACATTAGTCATCTAGCGTCCATTGGAATGAGGCAGGTTGCGCCCGCCCCCGCCAGCAGGCCCGGGGGGGGGGGGGTGGTGTAAAGTTGGTTGAGAAGTTGAAGAATATCATTCTCAGGAACCGTAATGTAGATTTGGATAAATTGTGCCAACAATAATGACTTTTACACTTGATTGTCTTAAAGGATAAATTCATAATAAATGATGCAATGATATTATTAGTCACAAAGGCAGCTAGTAAGCTAGTAGAGTGAGACAACCACCATTAAGTATAATGAGTGCTACATTAATCAAATACGACCACTTTAGGTAAGATTTCACATAGGGAACAGACTTGAGAAGCAGGAACCATTGATTCCTGAGAGGTGCTTGATGTGTAAAGAGGTGGAGAAACTGGTGTCGTTTGATTTTGCAATAGAGAAGAACTACATGGCATATTTGGAAACTTAATTATGTAAAGTAAGAAGGACTATGGGAGCATTTTTCATGTATAAAGATGAAAACTGTCTCATCTAAATATGTATTTTTGTGGGCTTCGGCAAATGGGACCAGTATAAGCCTTTCTCATGTGCAGTTCTTGGACCACTTTCATTTCAACCCTTCTTGTATGGCGTCGCATGAATATTTTATTTGTGCATATTCCTTCCACTACTGGTATTCTTAGGAAAACAAGACAAAAGTACCTCCAAAGGTTCTGATGCTATAAATCAGAGGAACTAAAGAGCATCTTTCCATGTGAAGGAGTTAAGAATCTATGGAGTAATGGATAGGATGAAGAGCACTAGCAAACGATCAAGCGGTACAACAGGCAACTTTTAGAAGGGGTGGATTAAGGAATTGCAGAAGCAACTTTTGGTTTTAGCTGAAATTAATATCAGAGTGTGAGGTATCTTGGGTGTTACAGGAGATGCCCCCCCAATCATGTCACTCTGCTTTGAGTACAATCCGTTAGCCTTCCCTGTCTGTGAATTGGGTGGTTTCAGTATGGTTCAGGATGGAATATTGAGACAGCTGTCTATTCTTTGTGTCCATTCAAGACAGACTCAACTAAGAATAAGCTTTTTGAATTGGAGCAATCTGATAATAGTACTTGCATCATCTGCAAGGTAGAGGTTGACCATCTATATCTGAATGGTCAGAGTGACCATCACCTCTTCAAGTTTTTGTGTGGTGACAAATTCTTGCCAGTGTCTGGTGAGAATGCTTATCAAGGCAAAAAAGGAGACTGCATGGTCTTGAAAGCTAACAAAAGTGAGTTGCACAGCTCATATATGCACAAAGACTTGCAATGGTGGCCGTGGCACCCACTGCTTGTTTTTGCAAGAAAAGAACAATCAACTTTAGTCATATGAAGAGGAGTGCTGAAGCTTTTGTGAAGAAGTTAATCTGGGAATTAGGTATTTATCAACTTACATAAACAAGTGAGCTGCAACCAATATAGCCATCAAAGGAAGAATTTACGTCGAGGTATCTCATTATATATACTAGTAGTTTGGTAGCAGCATGTAAGTGACATTTGGGACACTTGAACAAGATTACTTCTTAGTTGCATGTGACCAGTTTTTAGACTATTAGTGTGTATGTTCAAATCAATTGCAACAAAGTTGGGTTCCTAGCTTCTCTCTCCCCCTCCACCTCCCCTCTGCCCCTCTCTCCGGTTCTCCCTCCCACTTTTTTTTTTTTCACTATTTCGATATTTAGGCATACTGGACAGATTGTACTTTACTTAGTGATAGCCAAGTTAGCAGGAGGTTGAGGGCTCCTTTGTGCCTCATATGGACCTTGAGGCATGAGGAATAGGAGGTCACTTGAGTGGATGTGTTTTCCTTACGAAAAGTTTTGAATGACTACTCTCTTCTCACTTATGGAGATATACTGAGAGTCAAAGTTAAGTTAGTTAGTGCCTCATTGATTTTTTCTTTCTTTTGTACTCTTCTGTTCCTAAATATCTGTTGTTTAAGGTTTTTGCACAGGGATTAATGAAACTATTAAATAACTGTAATATAAGTAAAAAATAATTACACAAGACTAAAATACTCTTATTCAATACGTATTGGGAAGAAAAGGAATATGAAAGATACTTAACTTCCACCTAATTTAATGCATTGAAAAGTTAAGGGTAAATTTGGAAGAAAAAATATTAATTATGCTTTGGTTTCATTAAACGACAGATATTATGAAACAAAAAAAATTGTATAAAATGACAGATATTTAGAAACGGAGAGAGTATTTTTGAGGGATGGAGGTGGAGGGGCCTGAGGAGACACCATGAGAAACACAGAGTATGAATCAGACAAAACAGTTACTAGGGGATATTTGGTGGTCCACTCTCATGCTACCCATAAGCTACTCCCAAAGCAAGCCAATGAGTTGGTCTATTTGCATGTCTCCTGATAGGACAACAAATGAGAGTAGCTTATGCTTTGAAAGCCTTACCTCTTCAGAAATGGGTGAAATTACCCTAGCATCAATGAGGTTAGTAATCACTGTCGGCTACACACTTGGGCAAAATAGACGTTGGAGTATACCATTTATAATCCTCATTGTTATGCGCTGCTTTAAGGCTTCACACTGGAAAGATAAGTCTGATATGAATTTAACTCATTCAGATAAAATCCAACTTTCTCATTGGAGATGCAGTGAAGACCTTTATTTCATTTAATACCACATTGCAGTAATACATTAACACATTTCACCTTTATTGCTCATTACAACATTGACTTAAGGCATACTAATGAGAACCCATCAAGGGTCAAGGACACTTCCTAGAAGTACTACATTTATTTATATATCTTCCTCGAAAAACATTATTTTAGTGTTCTTGATATTATATTATATATTGTGAAGGTATTTTGAAAATGATGTAGGGACTCTCTCAACTATAAAATATGTTGTTCTTTATTTATTGGTCAATGTGTGCATCTTCATGTCTACTGGTGTTGAGAACTTTTTAGCACAGATTGGTTTTCAAGACACGGTATATTCTTTAACTTTGATTCCTGTGTTAATTTTACAGGGATTTTCAACAGTTCATATGCAGGTTAGTTGAACCTTCTCTTTGCACACTATGCTATCTTTTGTTAGTATGAACACTAACTAAAGCACTACCTCTTCAAAATTTATTTCAGAGGTTTACTTTCTTTAGTGTACAACTATAGGGTTCCCATTATTCTGAATTATAGATAAGCTGGTCAGAGTATCGAGAGAACATTGAGCTGAAAGCTTGTCTCCGCTATTCAAACTGAATGGAAAATAAAAAGTTGCTTGGTTATCCTTTTCTCATGGAAATACAGCTTAAAATATTCGCGTGAAAACAGAAAAGGGAGAAGAATAAATTCTCCCATGATTTTGAACGACAGCCAATTGTTCTTGAGAACGACTTAAAGTGGCCATAAATGTACAACCTGAAACTTTACTCTTACTGTAGTGATAGACAAATAGTCCAACTGATGAATAGAGCAACTGCTTTTAGTTTAGTGAGGACCGATTTGACTAATGAATGAAGTATCAGGCTTTTTCTCCCCTTTTTTGTCCTTGAATACCGTAAGAACCAATTCTCGGAGCCAACCTGCTCTCAGATGCCAAGCCTATGTGCCACTGCTGTAACATCTTTGGCTACTGCCTGGTCCTTCTACAAATTCAGTTGACGAACATGACACTACTATACCCCGATGACATTAACATACCAGTGCTGCAGCAGAACTATTTTAGAAACAGATTAAGTAATGACTTAAACATCTTTGGCTAGTTTTTTCTCCAATCTGCCTTATTATTTTGCTTACTGTGATTGTAGACTGTGCTAAAGATGACCCTGATATGAGCGAGGAAATGGAGAAGGATATCATAACTTTACTGTCGGAGGAGATTAACTTACTGAAAAATGTAACAAATGATAGCTTGGAACATACACAGGCCTTAATCATTGATGCCAAGAAAACCTCTTCACACTACCAAAAGGAGGCAGAGAAGTGCAATACAGGGATGGAAACCTGCGAGGAAGCAAGGGAGAGGGCCCAAGCAGCACTCACAGAAGAGCGAAAGCTCTCAGTAAAGTGGGAGCAACGAGCTCGTGAATGTGGATGGAAGGATGAAAGAAGAGTTTATTCATGAAAGTAACCAATCGATACTTTATTTTGCTAATACTAGGATTCTGGCTGATACCTTTGTATTCCTCATTGCCTACGGTTCTTTTTTTGTGAATATAGACATACAATAGTCATCATTCTTTCAATTAATCTTTCACTCATTTGTTCATTACAGTTGCATTGGACAGATGGATCCACTGGGCTCTTCTTGATTTTATTTGGCTATCTCTGTCACGACTCCAATTTTGGCTTTTATTTCATTGTAACCAAGGGAATTTTATGAAAAAACATACATTAGTTCAGACTTTGCCATTAAATTCTCGAAAGATTCACATTTTTCAAAAGCAAAATAGACATTACAAGAACTGTACTTGGACTTCCACATTTTACCTATGAACAAGAAGGTGAAATGTAAAAATTTTTGGTAAGCTTCAATTTGTTCATTGTTTGTGCTTTTCGGCAAGCTTCAATTTGTAAAAACCACAAAAAAATGTTCATTTTAGCAGGGTACCCAGTGTAACATAAAAAAAAACAGGAACAGAGAAAAAGAAAAGAAAGAAAGAAAAACTACAACATATATGTCTCCATTTCAGCTCAAAAAATGTGAGATCTGGCTGAATGGTATTAGACACAATTGGAACCCAAACTGTCCAGATTGAAGAAACACTTCCCTCAAACCAAATATATACTGTCCAAAACTGCATATCCAGCTACAACGCCTCCCTCATTCGCGGAAGAGACCTTTGTACGCATCAAGTAACCAGAGTGATCGTTCATTATAACTTTATCTTTGTTCCTGCACATTCAAATGCTCAAGAATTTATAAATATATAATAGGCAGTGGTAACAATCATAATCACTATTATCTTTGTTCCTGCACATTCAAATGCTTACTAATTTAGGAACATATACTAGGCAGTGTTAATAACACTCAACATTACAAGTATAATTTTAAACCTTGGAAACTGATTTGATAGTTTATACAATGAAGAGTCAGCAGACAGGCTTTTCTTTCTTTGTAAAGAAAACCTTGACCAACCATCATAGATTTGGAGCTCTACACTCCCCCCTTTTCTCTCACTTGAATATTGAAACTTGATTTAGGAAGCAAATGCATTTCCTATGAACTTGTCTCCCCATTTGAAATGTCGAGAGGTTGAGGTTGAGAATGAGAGAGTGAGTTTTTCATGTTAAGGTGCATGAAAAATTCATTGGTAGTGGGAGTAATGACAGACTTTTGTTACCTTAGATAAGCACCATAAATACCAAGTTCTGATATGGCATGATCTTTATGACAGATGCCATTCCTCATCAGAATAGCGGGAAATATGTTTGGAAAAATTCTTTGCATGAGGATGTAAGCAGCATTTGCTTCAGTCCCTTCCTTCTGCAATCTTAGGAGGGTTTCCCTTGCATCATCTCCATAGATATTGTTCCCTGAAGTGGGATGACAACAAACATTTAGTGATCTTATATACATACATAACTAAATCAATTAAGAAGAAACAAGACCTCCGCCTTCTCTTTGTGGTTTCATAACATATAACTCAGGTTTTTCTATTGCGTTCTTGACAATGTTTGAATCATCCAGACTCCACAACCCTGCAAAGCATTTTCGTAGCTTGGCAATGTCATCTTTGTTTTCAAGGAACCTGCTCAAAATCAAGACAAAGGCTTCACAGAAGGCATAATAAATGACGTGAATGGAGATAATTTTCCATTTAGATTGTTTCACTCAACGAATAATCATGCTCGTTATACACTCTTTTACCCATAACATGGTTTTTCCAGTCCACATTTTATTTATTCCAGCAGTTTAGGGAGGAAAAGTCACCTAAAAAGAATTAGCAACTACTTTTCGTTAAAGATTAAAGAAAGGCATTGATGTGGTTGAAGGGGTATTGTAGAGAAATAACACCACTTTACATTTGCTTTCACCACAAACCAAGAGAGAAAAAAAAGAAAATAAAAGACAATTCCCAGAAAGATCAGTACACATTTTCAGTGTTGATCATAGTTCATATGACATTTTTTCTGGAAGTTGGCCCCAAGCACAACCAAAATCCTAATTCTGCAGAAATGATAATCATACCCAACTGAAAAAAGGTGGTTATTACCTTTCAAGTACATTGGGTTTTGCAAGCTCTTGTTGAATCTTCTTGGTACCAACTAATTGATAAGAAATTGATGGGCACTTGATTGCACAGGACTGCTCCATAAGTAGCCTAGCTCTCCATTCCTACATTACAAACAAGACCATGGGAACAAAGGGGAAAAACAAACTATGCACTTGTGAAGCTAAAATTTGGAATTAGTTGGAATATTGATCACCATGTAGTGGGTGCTACATGGGATCAATTCTTACCACTTGAATAATATAGCAAAACTGAAACAAACTGGGATCAATTCTTACCACTTGAATAATATAGCAAAAGTGAAACAAACTGGGATCAATTCTTACCACTTGAATAATATAGCAAAAGTGAAACAAACTGGGATCAAAATCACCTTTTAGCTATGTTTGTATCTAATTTTTGTTGCTAATGCTTGAATTACACCATGAAATTTCACATTCTGCAAAAGTTTCTGTGAATATTGTCCAGAGTTTAACAGGATTTTATTGAAAATAATGCTATGTTTATTTTAGAGAGGAGCCAAGATTTTTGGTAAGTAGGGTTAATCAAAAACAATTGACATGTAATATTAAATTTCAATTTTGGTGATGTTACATAAATTATAAACATTGTTGCCAAAAAAAAAATCTAGATAGGAGTAATGTCATTGTAAGAAATTATAAAAGTTACCAAATGATTAAAACCCCAATAAAATCTTGTTTGGTTTCTTGTCTAATGCCAAACCATAGGTAATCATAGACAAATGTTGCAAGAGTATTTCAATTTCAAAATGAGTAAAAAAATGTGAACTCTTTTGTTTTTTTGAGGATTATCCTTTTTGTGTCAAAAACCAGTTTGTGATTTCTATTACTCATCTTTTATTAAGAGCAGAAAAATCTACCATATGCATAGAGTTCCTCCTCATTCTTCTGGGATTTCAACTCGTTTGATTTAGAGCTGAAGTCAAACCAGTTTGGCCATTTTAAAAAAATAAATCAGCATAGTTTGGAAACCTTCTCCACCATAATCTAATATTTGGGATTGACCCCTAAAGCTCTGTCGTCTACAAAAATAGTGCATAAACTTGAAAATTTTTCAGTAGCCTAGGGCGCAACTCCACTAGTTTTTTCGCAAGAGTTTTGTGGAATTTCAGTGGATTAGGGTTAAAAATTCCCCCAAAAGCCAAAGGGCACAACACATCTACACATGCCATCAATGGACAGAGTCAAGGACTGTAATTCAGCTCCATTGGCACCTTAAATATGTAAATACAATTTCTCAGAAACCAACATTAACCACTATTAGTATTTAAGGCAGTGCTTGAAGTTTCCTTTTCGAGAAAATTTTAATTGTAAGCAGCACAAAAAAGAACCAGACAAACTCACTGATTCTGAAGGATAATCAATTGGTGCATATCCAGTTCTGAAATAAATGACTGCAACTGCTTCGCCACCTCTGCAGTTGCAAAGTTTTCAAGTAGTATAGGAGAAAATCAAGTGATGATCTAAAAATTTGGGACCAGTAAAGTTTTACTTTCATGCCATAAAGCTACATACATAAGAAGTGTTCCATCTGGTTGAAGCTCCCCTTGTGCATCTATTTCTGCCAATGTCTTACGTACTATTGTAAGACCATGTGTGTTATTAAGTTTAGGAAAATAATCCATGGGATATTAATTAAAAACTTTACGCACAGAATATAGGAACATATGCATCTCAACAGGCCTAAGAATATAGAAACACATTCTCAACTGATCTTAAACCTTTTTTTTCCACTTTGAAGATTCCAAACGGGTGTCTCTAATATTAGTGTTCCCATTGCTAGGGTAGTCAAACATATGACCTGGTTTACATAAAGTAGCTTCTTATAAACGACGAAAAGGATATCTTTCTTTCAGTATGGTACAAAGCAAATGTTGATCATACATGTTCCTTTCTTCAGCTTGAACCACAACCATAACTACTGCCCTGAAATGCATGAATAAAGTGTATCCACAATGACTTTAGCAATCACATCATAAGAATGAAACAGACCACTCTTACAATTAAATCCAACCTCGGGTTGTTATATTCTGCCCAAGCTTTAGCCAATGCCTCAGCAAACTGACCTACAGCATTATTTCTGGGAATCCTCTCAGAATCCAGTGCAACGTGTTGTCCATACTGATTTAGTAAGCCCCTGCAAATCAAACAAGTAATCCCTAAGCATATATGCACACAAACTTGCATATGTACATGCATACATACGTATATAGTGATTTGTTGCCAGCTTCTGCAGTAAACACGTTAGCGTGTATGCAAGATTTTATGAAGAGATCTAAAGATATGCCCACTCATTCCGGCAATCCAATGTCATAATCGTAAACACTCAAATACATCTCTATAACATGAAAGCACGTTACATGGGCAAAAGGCTACCTAAAACAAAGAGAAATATAGAAGTGAACAATTAACAACCAAAGGAATGGGCAAGAGACTGAAAGAAGAAAAATTCATGCTCACTAAGATGTTATCAACACAGTTGTTAGAACCATTTTATAATTGATTAATTTCGTGAAATCCATTATAAATCTCAACCTTTTCTATGGTCATGATGCTATCAAGTTAAAGATTTGAAAGCGTCATTGAAGGAAGGAGATAAAGCGTTAATGCACCATTATTCAACCTCCATATACACCTTCATGCGTTAATGCAACATCATTCAACCTATGTACGCACCTTCATGCTTAGAATAAAGATAATGACCTAGACGCTTAAAATTAACTTTTAGTTATTTTTAAATTAAATTGATTAGGATGAAAATAACAATTGAAGTAATCCGTGAATGACTCCTAGGTGATTTCAAAAGAAAAGATTTTTTAAACAATTTTGTATTTTGAAAACACAAATTGAGCCATTATCGGATCCCACTTGAGCAACAACCTTTAGTGCTCAAGTAAACTAGTTTTTATTTGGTTTTGTGCTTTAAAAATCGGTAGGGATCGAGCTATACTCACTAGTGTTCGCTAGATCGGTCTCTTGATGACTTAAGCAATTGGATGAGAAAAGGCTACGGGAGAACAACACAGGGCTCACTCAAGCAGTCCTTCAAAGGTCGCTCAAGCCCTGTGTTGTTCTGGACAAGACGAAAACGTGATTTTCATTGTGGTGCCAACCCTTTTCCCACCGATCGAGCAGTTGTTCACGAATCTGAATTTCCTTATTTACTAAGACTATCCTTATTCCGGACATATAACTAGGGACAATCATTCTTACAGCTCAGTTAAGCAACTTGTGAGATTTCTAAGAGAGAAAACACTTCTCCTACCTTGAAAGCTTCCACTACTGCCCTATATCCTTAAATTTAAAGGCTACCACCAGAGATTCTAGTCAACCTTATAACTTGGTATTTAAGAACTTGATGGTGTAAACCAAACTCATTGGTGTGTGCATACCGAGGATGTTAGTATACCCATAATTGCTCGAGGCCTAGATGAACCGTGCGGCAGGATGGTCCAAATAAAGCTATACTAGACGTTGAAAGAGGACCGGCGGAGAGAGACAACAAGAAAAGGAACATCTAATCATGGTATTGGTTAAGGTATAAGAGTCAACATTAGGCTTTGGTGAACTGAAAAGATTTCCCACGGTTTTTCCCGAGGAGGATTTCCGTGTCAACAAATCACTTGTGTTAATCTTGCATATTCCATATACACTTGTGATTGTGAACACACCTGTACACTGTGTTTGTTGATTTGATTGATTGACTATCTATTCAATAATGTAAAAATTGGGATTTGGGATTTGGAATCGTAGTGAGATTGATTGTGAGTGAATTAATTAAAATCAATCGCCATAATTAGTTTGGGTTGTGGTGACTAAAGGAGCTTTCACATTATTTGTTATATCTTTGTGAGAAGAGGTAATTATGGTGGTTTAGATTTTTATTAGTAATCAATTAGGCTAAAATTGAAAAACATATTCATCCTCTTAAGTAAAGTGTCTATTGCTCCATGTGTATAATCGTAAAGGAAGATCCACGTCTAGTTTCCCCTCTCGGAACAACAAATAGTAATTACACAAATCTATCTGCCATGAAGTAGATATCAAACCAAACAATTTGGCGAAAAAATTATCAAGTTCTTAATATGGGGCTTATTCAAAATTGAATTTTAAAGGTCCCAACATGTTTATACAAGGAAACCTAGACCAGCATACAAGACATATCAGTTGGTTCAATCAAACAAATCTCCAAAGAAAAGATACAGGCTGACCAATAATTGTCGAACAATTACAGTATTTGAATCAACTTAAGAAATGGAGTCTCTCTTAAAGGTGCTTGGAGTAAAACCATTTCCTACCCCAAGAAATACCTTTGGCAGAAAATATTGGGTCAACTGGTCCAGCCAGTTCTATAATTAAAAAATATAAAAAATTACAAGCATAATAATTAAGCTAAATTTTAGAACTTTGGCAGAAAATGACAAATAATTATAGGTAAGTGAAAAATTAATAATGAACCCAAATTAATTTGTCAAAAAATCCTTGAGAAAATAGAATTTTGTGTAGAAAAAAATGCATAAAAAATATTATTTTAAAACTTTTTTTTCTAATGAAAAAGGTGGTTGTATTAGTGTAACTAAAGTCCAAAGTTGCAAAAATAACCAAGCCAAACATGCATTGAGAAGGAGAGGCGGTCAGTCATCTATGAGGGAAACAAGGCACAACGAGTCATAGAGAAAGAGAAAAGGAAAGAGAAAGAGGAGAAGACACAGAGATGCATAAAGTCATAGAGAGAGGGGGGACAAGAAAGAGAGGAAGGAGAAGAAGAGTTAGGGCAAATTTGCCAAATTTAGGATTTTTATAATTCTCAACTTCAAACTGTTGTTCCTCAAAACCGCCTGATTTAATAGTTTAGCTAAAAACCAGCCGATTTTTACTGTTTAGGATGGTTCAAGTGCTCAGGCGATCTAATAGTAGGACCGGACCGGTTCTGATAACATTGGCTAGAATCAAGCCATGCGCTAGCCAAATATCAGATTGTTGTAGTTGCAAGAAAGCTAGATAAAGTGGAGATGTTGGGACAAGTTGAGGAATAGAAACCTCTATAACAAACCAAGCAAATGATATATACCAAGTCACTTTAAAATTTCAAGCACTTCTATCCATGTCACAAAAATCATAGTCTTGGTTTCTTGTGCTTAATGGGTTTCTTTTATGCCTTGTTTTTTTGTTTACTCCAATCTTTAGTGTGCAACCCCAAGCATTCCATTCAACAGTCCAACTCAGAAACCAACACATAAGGATGTAAACATTGACCAAAAAAACATAATTCCAAATTCCACACCTATATAAAGGTTATATACATTTTTCCCCCTCTTAAAAAATTGACTGAAAAAACATCACAAATTCATTTGATGGAGTGCACAAGTAAACATATTATCTTTTATTATAGAGAGAGGGACAAATAGAAATAGAGAGCGGTAGAGGGAGAGAGACATACCTAGTATGAATAGCTGGGTAGAGTGGAGAAGTGCTGATGGTGGAGGAAGACGTGGTGGATGAAAGCTAATGGTGGAGGAAAAAGTCGGCTGGAGTAGTTGAGGGTTGGTGGTGGATTTAGGGAAAATAAGGGTCTAAAATCTAGTGGTGGAGGTTGATTTGAGGTGGTTATGGAGGATTGGTGGTTGTGGGGAAGGAGTGGTGGATTTAGTTAGGGTTCGACAAAATGGGAGAAATCAAAGAAGAGCGAAATGGGGGAAGAAGAAAATAAACCAAGTCCTTAAAACGTTAAAAACACCAGTCTGCTTGAAACGTTATACACGTCAATTGGACAGACGTTTTTAACATGTTTCAAAAGTTTTAGGGCTTAGTTAGACATCCTAGGTTTGACTTGAAGGCGTCAATTGGACTGACATTTTTAAACCAAAGATGTCAGTTGTATTGACATTTTCAAAAATTACTTGGGTTTCGAAATAATTTCAAAACCACCCCATTGCAGGAATTTTTTTTTCTCAAATTACCCTAGTTAGGTAAAAAGCTCTGCTTGGTATCGTACTACTTTAGTTTGGCTTTCAGCGCTCTACCTCAGATCATTTAGTTTTAATCGTCAGTTTTCTGCAGACATTATTATTGTTATTGTGTATGTCGACGACATTGTTATTGGTGGTAAAGACTTAGATGGTATTGCCCAATTCAACGCCTATTTGGAAAAACAATTTCAAACCAAAAATTTGGGTCTTCTTCAGTACTTCTTAGGAATTGAGGTTTCCCGATAAAAGGAGGGTATCAATTTGTGCCAATGAAAGTATGTACTAGACATACTATCTGAAACCGATATCTTTAATTCGCATTCAATTGATACACCTATGAATCCTACAATTAAGGTCGCGTTTGGTAACCGGTGTTTTTTTTGTTTTTGTTTTCATTTTATGGTAAAAAAAAAATTAAAACATGTTTGGTGAATATTTTCGTTTTTTTTTAATTGCTCTGTTTTGAAAACAAGGCTAAAATATGAAAACATCAAAAAAAAAAAAACCAAACGCGCGATTCATAAAGGGATTTAATGAGGTTTTGACTTCGATCCTCCTTAGCAACACAATATGAATTTTTTTGCTTTGAGTATTAAAAACCATCTCTCTCTCTCTTTCACCCCTCTTAGTCGACTCTCTGTCGGCTCTCTCTCTCTCTCGATGCCAAAGGCTGAAGACGAAGAGAAGCATCTCCATCGCATCGCCCCTCTCAGTTTTCTTTGTCTCTCGATGCCAAAGACCTAGCCGAAGCCATCTTCATCGCCCCTCTCAGTCGTCTCTCTCTCTCTGCCAAAGACGAAGGCGAAGCAGAAAAGGGGGAAAACATGCCATCGCCCCTCTCAATCGTCTTCTCAAGCCCTAGATCTATGTATATTATTTGTATATATAGATGAGTGGTGGATTTTGGGAGTTTGGGGTGGTGGATTTTGGTGGTGGGTGATGGTGGTTTAGGGGTGGGTTTTTGGGCATGGGTTTTCAGGGATGGGGTTGGGTGGTGGTTTCGGTGGTGGTCAGTGGGGTGGTTTTCGGTGGTCAGTAGAGTGGTTGTGGTTGTGGTTTTCAGTGGTGGGAGTGGGTTGTCGGTTTCGGTGGTGGGGTTGGGGGTGGGTTTCGGTGGTGGTTTGGGGTTAGTTGAGGTGGTGGATTTTGGTGGTTTATGGTGACTCTGCCACAGTGGTGGGGGTTTTGGTGGGGGTTTAGTTTAGGTTGGGTTGGGTTGGGGGTGGGTTTTGGTGGTTGTGGTGGTGGGTTTCAGTGGTGGGGGTGGGTTTCGGTGGTTAATGGGGGTTGGGTGGTGAATTTTTGGTATAATAACAAACATGTTTTTTTATTTTTGTTTTCACAATTTTTTAAATATAAATGACTACCGAACATGTTTTATATTTTTAATTTTTTATTAATTTTTTTTTATAAAACAAAAATATAAAAACGAAAACGTTACCAAACGCACTCTAAGTTATATCTTGAGAGTGGTGAAGTCTTGATGATATAGGGTGTTATCAAAAGTTGGTTGACAAGATGTTTTATCTTACAATTACACGCCCTGATATTACATATGTTTTGGTGTGGTTAGTGAGTTTCTGCATGACTCTCATTAGTCTCATTGGAAGGTTCTCTGTCATATACTTCGGTATTTGAAATGGGCTCTGGAAAAGGGATTATTATATCTGCCATCATCATCCATAACTGTTGTTGATTTTTTTGATGCTAATTGGACAAATAGTTATGGTGATAGATGAGATATTTCTGACTATTGTACATTTATTGGTGGTTATCTTGTTACTTGGTGCAATAAGAAGCAAAACATGGTCACACGTTCTAGTGCAGAGGTTGCATATCGTGCTATCACACATACTGTTTATAAGATATTATGGGTTCGTTCTTTACTTTGTAATACAGGACTTGATGTGTCTTCCTCTATGAAGATGCATTTTGACACCAAGAAGCTATTTCATAGCAAGTCATCTGGTATTTCATGAGCATGCCAACTACATTAAAGTGGATTACCATTTTATTCGAGATCTCTTGATACGGAAGGAGGTCCTCACTTCATATATCAAGTCTAGTGATCACCTAGATGACATTCTTATCAAACCATTGGCTTAGTCCGCCTTCAGTAGTTTATGTTTCAAGTTGAACATTTTTTATCTTTATAATACTCCAGCTTGAGGGGGAGTGTTAGAGTTCTTATTTTCTATATTAGATATAAGTTAATTAATACAAGGTAATATTGTAATTACCCTAATATTACTCAGATATAAATAATAGAGTGTTGCGCAACCTATCCTACAAAACTGATTATTCTCTCTCTTTCTCTGATTGTTTCTAACCCTAATATTATTTTTACTATTCCAACTTTAAGAAAGCATCTAACCATGGTATTGATTATGGTATAAGATTATAAGGCTTGTACTCTTACTTTGAGACTAGTGGATCAAGTTAGGTGAACTATAGTCCTGTGGTTTTTCCCAAATGAGTTTCCACGTAATTGCTTATGTTGTGGTTTTGATTGTCTCTTGCATGATATTTACATGAAATTTTACACTACTCACATGTTCAATAAATTCTTGAACGAGAATCTTCTTGCAAGTAGTGGTTGAAAATTTGAGACATTAATTCTTCAACTGATTGGGTGTTTGGGATAATCATAAGATTTGAGTAGTAATTAGATAAACTAATTGGTTATTGAAGTGAATTAGGTTTTATTTGGGCATAGAATTTTACATTGAGTGCTAAGATCTATTTACCCTGCTAGGACAATTACCTCTGAGTTCAGTGTTTCGAAGTACGATCTATTTGCGCTCTCAACATTGGTTGGTATGACTTTTTCAAGTAAATATTCTGTTTCAAAAACTTTAAAATTTGTTTGGTTTGCGTCTCAAAAAATAATATCCGAAAACCATTTTTGGGAATAATTTTAAAAAAGTATATTTAAGTGTTTTTGTGTTACAGAACTTATTTGGTTATATGATTCTAACAGTTCTATAGAATAAAATATAGTAAAATTTGTTTGGTTAGTAACCCCAAAAACAATGAAAATAGAAATATGGTGGTGGTGGTGGTGGATGTCGCGGTGATGTGGTTATGGTGGAAATGTGGTGGTGGTGTTTTCTAAATTCTAGACAGGTTTCAAAAAATACACAAAAAAACCCTAACTTATTCTCTAAATCTATCCACTTTTTGTTCTTGGGTTTCAAAAAAAACAAGTAAAAAACAACTGGCAAATAACTTTTCTCCTTTAAAATGTTTCTAAAAATAAAAAACAGTTTCTGAGATGTAAACCAAACAGGGCCAATATTCTCAAGTTGGCCCATTAATGATGTTAACCTCAACCAGAGGATTGTCTTTTCAAAAAAAAAATTGGAGGCTTGTGAAAATTCCAGCCAAAAATTCAAGATTTGTTGTTAGTTTCTTCAAACTTATGTATATCCTATCTCGGCAACAACATTTTTCTTTTTCCCCTTTTTTCCTCTTTTAAAATTAACGTTTTAGCTATTCATTGGTCTGAAGCTGAACCTATGGTGAGCATGACCACCGACCATAACATACTTGAAAATTAGTGAAGGCATTCCAAAAGTCTTTTAAAAGCAAGACTTGGCAATAGTAATTAAGAACAAGAATGATGAACTTATCCTACATAGTAAAAAGGGGAAAGAAAAAAGAAAAACAAAGAAAAGGACGTAAAACAAATTTACCCACAAATTATCATGACAGTTAAAAGAAAGCACAAATTAAAAAATTGATATAGGATGTTGTACCTGTGAAGCTCGCTGATGAGACAACTCAACCCAGAAAATGAACATGAAATTGTGTTGAGCTCTATTTGGAGAAGCAATTTAGTTTGTTCATCGAGCATATAATCAGAGCGATGTAAACCCAAGCGTATTTCCTAGGTCAAAGATTGAAACAAAAGAGACATCTTTACCAACAGCAAAAAATGACACAATCCTAATCCAATACCTTGACTATGTACACCAAACACTGGATGAAAATTAATTAGATGAACTGAACAAATTACGATGGCTTCCAAATACCACAAAATAACTACATCATTACATTCTTCTCATTGTAGCATCAAGCTAAAGAAGAGGCCAGGTAAACAATCAACAAGGATGTGGAAGGAAGCGTGTAATGGTCTTTGACAGAGCACAGTGGTAAAACAGCTCAACAGGTATGGCATACCCAAATAGTTCAAAAAAGGCTTTAATGATTTAGATTGAGCCAACAGTATATATTATTAGGCAATAAGCCAATAATAATGAGGAAGCTGACAGTGTATGTATTATTAGCCAGTAATAATGAGGTCTGGCCACAATCACAAGAAATAAAAGGACTGACAACTGTGGTTGCATATGAAAGTGAAACTGAATCCACTATTGATACACACCTCTTTCTTATTAATTTCTAGCATCTTGGAGTGAATTTCTAAAAGTCTAGCAGTGAAAGCATCCACTTTCTTTGTTCTGCAATATTCAAAAAGAGAAGAATAAACTCAGTTCACACATTATTTGTATATTATCTGTTAAAAGATAAAAAAATACTCTTAGTCTTTCAAGTCAAGCAAGGAAACAATACTAAACAAAAACAAAGGCCGATATCAGAATCAGTCAAGCCACATACACATCGGATATCATGAAACAATATGAAACAACTTAGGCGGAACAAAAATGATCAAGGAACAAGCTTAAGGGGCACCGAGTCATTCCAAGCTAAAATCTAAACTCTAAGAACCATTGACAGAAATTACATCTAACAGGTCATTCTTTGTCAATATTTCTGCCAAATTTAGAAGGAGTTACATATTTATCATAAGAATCCATTCAGGTGGAATGGATGAAAGGTAGGAGTTCCACTTGGTGTGAAATCAAGATAGGAACCATAGAAACTCAAGTCACAACATGCTTTTGAATAAGACAGTACATGTAGCTGAAATGGATAAGTGTCAGGAGAAGAAATAAGTAATTCAGGTGATTTTAGCAGGGCATACTGGAAAGTCTAAACAGATCACCTTCATCATCACAGCAAATCAGATGCTTCGAGTTGAAGGTGCTGGAAGAAAGAGGGCAAGGGAAAACTCGATGCGAGTTAAGGTAGTGAGAACAACTGTTTTGGCATGTAACATGGAAGTTTGACATAGGTGGAGATAAATCAGTACCCAGCAAAAGCACAGTTCTTATTGATCTCACATCTTAAGAATATGGACATCTGAGGTGATTGCGTAAGAATGAAATCCAATATCTTTTGTATACATGCTCCTGTATTTGATGAAAGATTCATGATCCGGAAGATTCTACTTGACAATACTGCATCTCCAAGAGGTGCAAACCGTCCAATGACCCATTACTTAACACACAATGGGGTCCTTGACAGATCAAATTGCCAGATAAGATTTGTTCTCACCACATTAAAATTGGGATGTGCTCACGTATTACAATTTGTATGTATCCATGCAAGGCAAGCTGTGTTTACACCCACCAACACACAGAGGCCTATCAATTGATGGTTCAACCAATCCAAGCCCTCTCTGATTTCAATACCCCAAGCTTAATGCCTGCCAGATTCTATTTTCCCAAACCATAGCCGAGATCATTAAAATTTAGAAGTCTGACCCAATAAAAAATTTAATTAGAGCTGAATTTTAGAAAATTACATTCGAATTCCAACTCCTTTTTTTTTTTTTTCTTTTTTGTGTCAGATCTTCAACTCAACTTCAGCAAGCAAGAACTCAATTTTTATCATACAAATATATACACACAAATATATGATACGTGTCAGGACAAATTTGAATAGTCACAATTGGATATTGTCATATCCAAATTCGAATGCGTGGAATGTGTTGGAACAAATTTGAATTCGCATCATCGGTCAAAAAAGCAATTCTTATCTGACCAATCAGATTTGGATTCAGATCAAAATCTAACCAGTGAATAGAATTGCACACACACTGAGAGAGGGTGAGAGAGAGGACCTGGAGAGTGAGTCCTGTAGAAATTGTCCATCCAAGCTAACACGATCAACTAGTTCATTGAAAATGGGAGCTAATTCACAAGCTTGTTGAAAGCGATTTTCAGGAAATGACATGGGCAGTAAGGCAAATGGGGCATGAACCATACCCACACCAGGCACAACTCCTGATCTCTGCAAGTAAAACCCAACATTAAACACAAGAACAATTGCTTCTATTCATAAGTCCACATCATTCTTTCCAATTCCTTTTCAACTGTGGTAACGATATGTTGCAGATCATCTAAGCTTACAACCCAATAAATTGTAAATCATCTAAACAAAAATCAACCATTGGGGATAAATTTCGGTAGGGTACCAAATCGATACTTTAGCCTCATCCTTCCTGTAAATGCAAAGTGTAACTTTTAATTCAAACGACAGAAATCTACAAAGATTCCCTTTATATTATTCCACCAAAAATCAGGGAGAAAAAAACTCATGTCAAGCATCAAAAATCAGAATCGGGGCAGCTAATAAGATATATAAAAAGACACAATCAAAATCCTTGCTTGATTTAAAATTCCTTTCTCACACTCATATAAGAAAAATTTACATGCTAAAAAAGATTATAACAGTTCTCAACTCTCGAGGCACTAACAAGTGTGTGTGTGTGCGGCCGCAAAAGTGGGATTGATCATTCTTGATACACTGACCTCAACATTTTTGTCTCCAACAACAAACCCATGAAGAGAACTCCAAACCAGAGCATCATACACCAACTTTTGAAGCAATTCTTGGTCAATACTGTGAGGATCATATATGGGTTTTATAGAAATTTCCTCTTGGGCTTCCATTTCTTCAACTCTGGCACACTTTGTAGCCAAAACTGCTGAAGAAGATTGGGTGACGGTGCTGTAAGTTGGTTTCTGGAGATGGGTTTGATACAATGTAGTGGTGGGAGTGAGAACAATAGAATTTGATACAGATTTGTGAGGAGAAAGAGTGGTGGGCGCAAAGAAGGTGCTAGTGGGCAATGAGAGGAAGACAGACGAATAGGCGACACCCATTTTGAAATTTTTGTGGCCTCCGAAGTGATTAAATCAGTAATTTTTTTTGGCAGCCACGGGAAAGAGAATTTTGACTTGTATTGTGTGTGTGCATCTTTTTATTTTTATTTTTAGTTTTAGTTTTCGTTTTTTTTTTGGTCTATGACGATGACGAAAGATGGTACCACTTACCAAAAAATTATTCATTCCAACAAGACATTAGTATTTCTATGTTGTGTCATCAATAATGTACAAATAAATTAAAAAAATAGATCTTACACAAATTAATAATTACTTATTTATTTAAGTCAATAATTATTTAGTCTTCTTTCATATACAATAATAATTATTTAAGTATAGTTCACTTTGTTTATTTAAAGTTTTATTATTAATTAATAATATTTTGTCAATAATGATAATATAGTATCGGAGAACACTTTTTTTTAAAGAAAATTATGTTCTGCACCTTAAAAAAATTATTTACACCTGTAATATATTAAGAGTGTTACCCTATGGAAAATAGGAGGGAAAACTGGGTTTTCTATTGTTTGGTTAGAGTGAAAAATGGGATGAAAAAAAAAAAAAATTTGGATGGAAAGTCTTTCCATCAGCCACACCATTTTTAATTCCCCCATATTTGAGCAGAAAATGGAGAGAGAAGTTGGTTGCTATGTTGTCATATAGTTAATTTACATTTACACCTTCTTACTTACATGTATTTTCTTATAATGTCTTTAAAATACCATTTAGCATGAGAGCTCAATTGCATTTGTTCACTTTTTGTGGATAAAATTGTAAATTACATAATTTTTTTCTTTTTTACACCCATACTCAACAATAATGGTAAATAAAATTTATAGACAAAATCAAAATGGTAAATCGAATTTATATGATCTTTCTTTCCTTTCATTTTTCTTCTTATACCAAACAACACAAAATTTATCCCTCTGACTTTTTCATCCATCATACCAAATAAAAAGAAAGAAAAGAAGATTTATTTTTTGTATGGATAGAAAGTGTATCTATCACATATTTCATCCTTCTTATTTTTCATTTCTTCTACCACACTGACCTTTAGAGTATAACCTTTTTATGAATTTTTGTTGTTTATTTTGTCAAAAACTACATCATCTATATTGACAAAATAAACAACAAAAGAGTCATATTATAACACTCATAACAAATTGAAGGTTTAATGTGAAAAATTTAATCTTTAAAAGTATAAAGTAGTTTTTTTTATGTTTTTTGTGTGTAAAATACAATTTGCTCCAATCATATTCGAAAATAAAGAGACCATTTGAAACTCCTTATCAAGAGAATTGACTAATTTGGGATCGTAGACCAAACCATTTATCTATTTGAAAATCTTCTTTTTTTTCTTAGTTTTGAATTATTTAATTGATCTCATTAAATTGAATTCTAACATGTGGCATATAATACCACTTTCAACTTTTTGTTTAGGGAAAATTTCATTCACTCTTATAGTTAGGTCTAAATTTAATGACACTTCATTTCAATTCTAAAACTTCACTGCATTCCTTTCAAGTTTATACTGTCAAATTATGGACACCTCTTAACAATAATTTCCGTCTCTGAGAGTGGAGAAAGTGCACAATTTGATTACCTCTTATTTGAAATGTCAAAATTACCCTCTGCTATGTTTATGGACTAGAATGCCTTAGGCCGACACTTTATAAAGCTTAGTTTTTTTATTTTTTTGACATGTAGGATGATATATTGATCTTGTCTATAAAATTTATTTACCATTATTGTTTATGTATGGGTGTGAAAAAGAAAAATAAATTATGTAATTTATAATTTTATCCACAAAAAGTGAATAAATGCAATAATTGATAAATCACATGAATATACCATAGGTTAGTTAAAGAAATATTTCAAAATTGAGCCCTCATGCTAAAAAGTATTTTAAAGACTTGATAAGAAAATATATGCAAGTAAAAAGGGTATAAATGTAAATTAATTATATGACAACATAGCAACCAGCTTCTCTCCCCATTTTCCGCTCAAATCTCGAATGATTAAAAATGGTGTGCCGGGTGGAAAGACTGGCCATCCAATTTTACTTTCCATTCCATTTTTCCCTCTGACCAAACAATGAAAAATCCATTTTTCTCTTCTATTTTTTAACACGCTCAATATATTAAAAGGTATAATATAAAAAAATTATTTTTTTAGTGTGAAAATAAAAAAATTTAAATCTTTTAATGTACAAAATATAATTCCCATTAAAAAAAAGCATTTGGTAATAGTGGCACCATCTTTTTCATCGTCATAGACAAACAAAAAATTACAAAATAGACTTAAAAATGATAAATCATTATCATTAAATAGATAGTAAATTTGAATAATAATAATAAAAAAAATAGATGATAGATCCTAATAAAATAATGAGATCTATAATTAAATCAATAATAAATATATCCATCACATCCTCAAGTCAAAATGTTTAATTAAGTTGGCATCAAGTACCTAGCCATTAACCCAACATTTTTTTTGACAATTTCTTTTTAAGTTATATTTAGAAAATAAGAGCATGTGTCCAACTTATTATGGGGTCCATGTGAGTTGTAGATGCATATACATCTTTAATGAAGTTGTCGATTTATTAGTGTCCTTGTGATTATGATTGTGATTGTAATTGTGATTGTAATTGTGATTTATATATGCATATATAAAGTTAATGAAATGGTCGATCATCTTAAAGAAATAGAGTGTAATAACAATTTTTATTTACTTTTATTTTGAAGTTTTTCTCTTTGTTTTTAATTTTATGAGGGTTATATGATATTTTTAGCGACGGTCCCGTGCAGTGCACTGAGTTTTTATGTTTTCCTTAAATTAGTGGCTTATTTTTTTAAAAAAAATTAGATGAGTAATATTTAATTAATGAGCAATGCTACATAGATTTAACAAGTAGACTTAAAAATTAGACTTGATAATTACAACTATTGATTTCACTGTGGGTTCCAGCACTTATTAGGACCCACTGTCCATTCAATAGTTGAGATTATCAAGTATAATTTTTAAGTTCATGTATCATTACTTTTAATTAATGGGTGATGGGGCAATTACATAAAATATGTGTTTGAATTTAATTGGTTAAAATCAAGTGTCATTGCTTATTCCGTCAAAAGCTCCCTCATCGATATTGACAAAATGAGCAACGAAAGGACTGCAGTATAACACTTGTAACACGTTGAAAATTCAGTATGAGAAAATTAATCTTTAAAAATATAAAATAAATTTTTTATATTTTTTTTGGTGTAAAGTATAATTCACCCCAATCATACTTGAAAATAAAAGGACCATTTGAAATTCTATATTAAGAGATTTGACTAATTTGAGATCGGAGACCAAACCATTTATCTATATTATATATTAAAAAATTAATTTAGGTAAGTGAGTGTTTGAAAATCTTTTTTTTTTCTTAGCTTTGAATTATTTAATTGATCTGAATTCTAACATGTTTGTTTTGCTCAAAAAAAAATTTTGTTAATTATTTTATATTTGAATTTTTCATCATCTTTATTTGCTATTTTAAATTTAAATTTTTATAAAATATCAATAAATATTTTTCCAATAATGTTAGGATGGGATCATGGGTGGTGGTGGGGTCGTGGGGGCATGGGCAGCGGCAGCGGTAGAGGGAGAGTAGGGGTGATGGTAGTGATGAATAGATATTATAAATTATGTGCATCATATATAGGGACAGTCGCGAGTACTATACATATAAAATAATCAAATTAGGTGGGATGTAGATTGAAGCACCACTCATGATTTTAACCAATTAAATTCAAACACATGTTTTATGTAATTATCCCTCTATCCATTAATTAATTATCACTCATTTAATTTTTTAAAAAAGTAAACCACTAATTTAAAGGACACAAAAAAACTCAAACTCACCGCACGAGGTGTAGCTACAAATATCATATAACCATCATGAAATTTAAAATAAAGAGAAAAATCTTCAAAATAAAAATACATAAAAATTGTGATTGCAATCGATTACTTTAAGATAATGGACCACTTCATCAAAATTGTATATGCATATACAACTCACAACCACGAGGACTCTAAGAAATTGATGACTTCATTAAAGTTGTATATGCGTATTTAGCTGACAATCACAAGGACACGAATAGATCCACGAATAAAAGTTAAAGCTGTATATGCATCTACAACTCACATGGACCCCATAATAAGTTGGAACATGCTCTTATTTTTAAATATAACTTAAAAGCGAAATTGTCAAACAAAAGTGTTGGGTTAATGGCTACGTACTTGGTGTTGACTTAATTAAAAATTTGCATTATAGTTGTGAGCACTTCACAACCTAAAGAATAGAAAAAGGGGGAGTTGTTTACTAAATAGTGGAAGATTATATGATTAAAATATGCAAAACTCAAATTATTCTAGTTTCAATACTAACTTTCAAACGGCCGGCTTTCAATAAACCTATAAAAGAAAATAAAAGTGGTCCCCAAAAATATTCCCCAGAGACCACAAAGATGGTCCAGATTCATCTGAATTTAATCTAAAGGTCAAAAATGTCTTGCAAAAAGTTATATTTATCAACAACTCAAAAAAGAACAGACATTTTGAATAGGTGGGAGGAAATATGTGTTTTAATTTGGTTCAACGGTTAAAGATATTCAAACTAATATATGCGCATCTCGATTAATCTCCTCTCTAGTAAAAAATAGACTATCTACGCCAGGGTTAGAGTATTCATGAGGGATAAATCCCTCATGCTCTGATCCTAAATAGTTGCTAAGATTCGAACTCAAAACGTCTGAATTTACAGTTCATCCTTATAGCATCTCCGACCCTCCTATTTAAAATAGTTAGTCAAAATATATTTAAATATTATATTTACTACTTTAGTTACCCATTTTTATAAATTCACTTTAACTACACACTCTTTATTTTAGTTAACTACTACAGTCAACTTTTACTAACTTTCAATAATTAAAAGAAGTAAAACATATATATAGACAGAGATAGAGAGAAAAAAAAAAGGTAGAGAGAGAATTTAGAGAGCTCAAATGGCTCACCACATTTGGTGAGCCATTTGAGTTAACTAGGAAATAGAAAGTAGAATAGAGAGTGGGTTGGAGAGAATTTTTTGTGTTTGACTAGCTAAAGTAGCTAAAAGAGAAAAAATAGAGAGTGGGTTTAAAACGCTCTTACTATCACTTGATCTACACTTGGGATCGAAGAAATATATGTTAAGCGCACGCAGTAAAAACAACCTTTTTGTCTCTTTTTCGAGAGCATATTTAGAGCATTGAAAAGTGGACCAATATTTGTCTTTTGTATGCAAGGATATTTCAATTTGTTTACATAATGAGTCAATATTATGATCAATTACAATCAATCTTTTTTTTTTTTGTATAGAGTAGAAGGGTGAAAATTCATTCTACACTATGTAAAAAGGAGGGAACACCAAAATAGTAGGAGCTATGCTTTGAATTACATGTATATCATATCATGATAGTGATGTCGTCTCAATTAATGAAGGGAAAAAATAGAAAATCAAATTTCACTCATAGAAAGAGAGAGGAGTGAAACCTGATCTTCCCTAAGTGGTTGGGTCCCAATTTTGCCCTCATGTCTTTCGTTCATTAAACGGTTCTGCAATATGATAGTGCTACGTAAAATAATTTTGCATTAAGAGTATCAAGGGATAACATTTATAGAAAACAGAAGAGAAAGCATCAAAATTGAGATATAAAAAACCATTTTGTCTTTAATGAAATTTTAAGTCATGTGACATTTCATTATGGACCGTCACGGGTTCGTAAAACAACTAATTAAACTGTCAATGTTGCTAATTGGAGATAAGATTTTAATTTTAAAATTTGTTTTCAAAGAAAACTTAGGTAAACAAACGTTAGACATGTAGGAGGGTTTAAATCTTCTTGTCTCATGTGCTATGCTAACTCAAAAGGTTGTATAAAGTTGCCTCTCATCTGGTCTGATAGGTTTTGTACAGTGAAAGGAGACCTACTTGATTAAAGCCCATTCAATTTCCAATTTGTATTTAAAGTCCATTAACAAAATAACAATTGGACTTGCATTTTGATATTATATGAAGCTTGGTGTTTGGACTAAAACATTCTTCAACCTGTACAAATGACTACAAAGATTCTTTGAATGGTGCGATAGTTTGTATTTGTCTGGAGTATTGTGCGAGGAATTCACCAACTTACCTTGATGCTGATACGATGTTCATCGACTTATTTTGATCGATTAGAACAAGAGGATGCTCAAATTATTTTATTAGTGCTAAATAATATTGAGTCTCGTATCAGTTCTACGTTACTTTATCTCGATACTACAAAAGAGATATAAGATCATTTGACCATTATGTATTCTGGCACAGGTAATTTTACTCGTACATATGAGATTTGCAAACAATATTTTCGTATTGAGCAGGATACTCTGAGATTAGAATACTATTCTCAAGTTAGGGGAGTTTGTAAGGAAATGAAGATTTCACCATCCGTTCACCACTGATGCTTACACGTCTGCGACAATAACGTGAGGATATGGATATTGTTTGTTTCCTTGTTGGTTTGAAGCCTGATTTGATTCAATGTTGGATAGAGAACTAATTAAAATTTAATGGAATTAAACACAAAACTCAATAATTTTGGTTCTTCCCAAACAGTATGTCAGGAAGTAATTTGTAACTCCATTGCTAAATAGATAGTAAAGTTGGCATCACGAGATTAGGATTTCTTTATGATTTGCTAATTGAATTCATTATAAATTGGTCTTCATAAATAGAGATTACAAATGTACTTGCATCTTAGTTAAACCAAATGAAAACTATTTACTTTTATTCAATATCACGATATAAGGGGGGAAAAAAGAAGAAATTTTTTTATATTGTATCAATTAAACAAGTTTGTCGTGTCACAATAAAAGTATTTATGTTTGACACTAATCACACCGATATATTATTGGTGCTAATTGGTCATGTTATCTTTGAGTTCGTATAGTGTTAGATTCAAGTAATGTACATCTCTAATGCTAACTGTATTTTAAATCTAAATTTAAATTTGAGTAAAAATTGTTAAAAAATTTTCTCAAATTCTATACCCAAGCTCATATAAAATTAAGGGAGACTAATGATAAGATTTTATTCTCCTTTAAAGATCCAATAATCATATTTCATTCACCTTTAAATTTGAGTTTGTCATTCTTTAAATTTGATTTTGTCCTTATTTAAATTAAGTTTTTTACTCTAATGTTAACTAAAAGTTGGAGATGTTCTAACTCTAAGGCCTCTAAGATGCATCAGTTGCGATAAGACTTAAAAGACGTTGAACGTGATGAAAAATTCAAATTTTATCACAGTGTCACGAAATTACATATATTGGCCATTTATATTACGATAACTTGGGAGCTCAAGTTTGATTTTTGGTTGACTCGAATATGTTTTAAATGAATTGGTAACGTTATGTGAGACTCGTGATTCATACATATTGTGAAATTATGTCAAATTGAAAGTTGATATGATTCGACTGATTATATTATTATCGATCGATAGTTTGAACCATGCGTGCAATACATCGTGTCAAAAATTATCATCATTATTTGCCTCTACTGAAATAAGAATGTGATTCGTGATTTCCATTTAAAAATGATGGACTATGCACGGCTCCATAATCAACAAATCCCAATAACCATCTAGTATATACTTTTTGTTCAGTTCGATCCAACTACACCCAGAAACCAATTTTATTATCATGGTTGCAACAAGCAACAACCAGATCAGGCAAATTTCTTAAATCCCCCACCCCCCATGGCAACAAAGACTACCAAGATGGCCTCTGGTTTGACACTAAGAATCTATCTTATTTGTTACTCTCTGATTTTGCACTTACATTAGAACCCGTCTTTAGAATTGGCTTCAAAGGCTTTGTCTCTTCTTTTTCTCTTTCCATGGAAGGCAATTTTTCTATAGCTTTAGTCTTTTTCTTCTTACTGGGGTATATTTCCTCCACATTGTCATTTATGCTAACCATCTTCTTTGGGGCCTTTGTCTGTGGTGCAATTGCTGGTACAGTCACTACTTCATCTTCACCCTTCTTACCTTCATTTGCATTCAAATCATTTATTCCTTGTGTAGTAGAAGAAGCAATAACAACGCCATTCTCTCGGTCTAGTGGGAACTCTTTGCCATCTTTCTCGACTTCCTTGTTTTTAGAGTCGAAGGTGGTAAGAGGGACTAGTTGTTGAATGGCTATGGCTTGTTCTGACTCAACCATGGCTCCAAAATGGACGTCTTCATGAGGTGTTCCGTTCTGTGAAGCATCAGAAATAGGCATGGGATGACCCAGAGTCACAGGCTTGAGAGCTTTTGTTGCAAGGCTTAGCATGATGAAGTTGAAAAATCTCTGGCAAATGAGCCAGAAATGTCTCACGGGATATGGCAAAGTCATTGGCCTGCTTGCTATCGCTGTTAAGCTTTTCACCATGAAGTTCACAAGTCTCTGGTAAACACCAATAGATTGAAGATGGTTCTCTCCTTGATCCATTAACCTTGTACTCTCTCTCTTTCTCTAGGACAAGGGTATTATTGTAGATGAATATGAGAGGTTTTTGTAAATGAATGGTTTGCTTATGAGAAGGCACTATCACTAGGACAAGGCGTGGAGTGAAGGGGGAGACATTTATTTCTGGAGTATAAAGCAAGCGGCCACCCACAAAGAGGTATATATGCTTTGGCTTCTTTTGTTGAAAGCAAAAGAAGCTTGGAAGAATGGAAAAAGTATTTCTACAAATGGTGGAATCTAGTGGGACATGGGTTAACACCATTCTCTGGGACATGGGTTAACACCATTCTCTGAGTACGGCTAAAATAACCCATAATCCCCTTATATTTGCAAAATAAGACGCGGGAGGGAACTAAAATTTTATCTTGAGAGGTCAACAATAACTTAGACAAAAATTTAATTTAATAAGTTTATTTGACTGTCATTGTCAATGATAAATTTTTATTTATAAAAAATTTATTAAATTTAATTTTTTTGCAATGACATAAAAAAATTTATTTTTGAGCACAAAATTCAAAAGTGATTCATGCCATCATAAAAATTCATTTGTGATAATATCCTTTTTTTTTTCTTGTTTATAATGCAACCTTATGTCTATAAATAAATCAAGTTCGAAAATAATAGTTTCATATGAAACCATAATAAAAATGAATTATAAGTCAACTAATTGTTTTTGATATAAATCATATTTGTACTCCTATTTTTTTTATAAAAAAAATCACTTGTTTTTTCTCTATATCATCAAAATAATTTAATAAGTATCTTCGGTAGTACAAACAATACTCATCCATGTGATTACATTTTAAATGGTTGCTAAATATTAAGTCATTGATATTTTGAATACATTAGGGTGAGATACTTACACATTGGGTGTTTTGAAAAGTTAGGGGTTAATAATAAATTTTTTAAAAATATAAGGGAGACAATAGAAAATTTTAAAATTTGAGGGGGGCCTAGGCCTCCTCATAGTTCCGTCTCTGATGACATGGCTACCTCAAGTGGAGAATTAATTCAGAAATAAAGTTTGCCACTGTGGATTGGAAGACACAAAACCAGAGCATTCCATCATATTCTTGACAAATTGGGAAGCAAACTCTAATGAAAGCGAAAATGTTATAGCATGGTGACAGATCCACACTCATCAAACCCATAGCCCTTGTAATACCTACATACGCAATGCAATCTTTCTTGCTACCTACAAAATACACTGTGCTCCAAAATCGACATAAAGATAAGAGGTTTTTGGTGGGGTCACATAAAAGATCATCATTCATCATGCAATGACTACAAGCCCTGAGACTCCCTCTGCAAGCCAAAACCTATCGGAAGCTTAGGTTTCAAGAAAATACAAAACATAAACAGATCCCTAATAGCAAAATAGGGGTGGCAATTGGTATCAAACTCTCACAAATCTTGGACATCACAATTTCAAAGGAAGTATATTAGCAGGAATTCATTTTTTTTTTATGTCCAAAACAACCCCAAGACTCTCCTATATGTAGAGTTCAGCTCAAGCATGAATGTGAAAACCTACCAACAAAAGTGGGAGATCTCCTCAAGCAAGGAAACAGAGAATGAAATTCTGATATTCATTCCACGCTCAAACTCCCGAAATGCAGTCTAGACAGCGGGCCCTCCCCTTTCTGACTGGACTGACTCGGGGAAGGGTCAATCTCCTCCGGAGCATGCTTCACAGCCATTCATTCGTCCTGACCAAATAAAATCTCCCCCGTAGCAGCAGCGGCACTCGAGTTCTTAGTGCCAGGTGCAATAAGTACGCCATTTCCAAGCCTCCTTGTGAAGCGTGCGAGCGAGAGAACCAAGTGGGCTGTGGTGATGTCAGAATTTGCACCTATTTGTATCTATTTAGTGATCAGTCCGCTAGTTTCTTTGATCCCACTCGGTGTTCCTTTTCCATTTGCTTCCAATAGTTCGACCTATCCAGAAAAATTGTCGGCCTACGAATGTGGTTTCGATCCTTCCGGTGATGCCAGAAGAAGACCAAATGAGATGGATCCCCTCAAGCAATAGTTGTTTCACTTCCAAATCAGCTTATCAAGCACGCAAAGGACTATAAGAGCTAAGAAGTCACTACCTTGATTAAAAGTACCGAAAAATCTTATAGAAGATGATGATTCATGAGAGGTACAAAATAAATCTTTGAATATCCATCACTGAGGGCCTCCCAACACAGAGCTTACTAGCCACAAAAATTTCTATAGAAAACATCATGTGTCCCTTATGTCATCAACACGTAGAAAGAGAGCTTCATTTGTTCTTCCTATGCCTTATTGCTCGAGGTATCTGGTTCAATAAATGGGGTTTACACATTGATCACTTCCCAGACTTGAGCTTTCAAGAATGGATCCATACCTTCTCCATCCCACATCCTTATTTGGCCTCCAATCCCCACATTTCTCTCATCCAATCCTGTTCACATCAGTTATAGTATCTTAACTATGGCAATGGAGAAACCAAGTCCAATACCAGAATTGACCAGTTGAACCCTTAACGATCCTTTAGGACATTGACTCACTCTTATGTGAGCTTAGAGCTAGAAATGATTATCATCAGACCAATATCATTATTCCCAATAATATCAATTTTTCAACCAGTTATAGATACCACCCACCACAAGAAGGAGGAATCAAATCAATGTGGATGTTGCAATTGGATCAAAGAACTCTTGCATTTCAGCACTCGCGAGGGATCATGATGGATCAGTTAGAGAATGTAGCTCTTTGGGCAGAAAGACAAAATTGGAACTGTGTTACCATCACAAATAATTCCCAATCTGTGGTTCATGCACCCTATAACAGATCTGGACAGTAGTCCAAGATATGAAGCAAATTCTCAGGAATCATCCTAACTGGAACATGGTACATGTATTCAAAGATGCAGACAAGCGTCACATGAGCTAGCAAGATGGGGATTAGTCCTCAAGCAGACATACACTATTCTTGATCACCAACTTTCAAACATAGTGAACTAAACTATGCTTAGAGAGACGCCACTTTTTTTAGGAATTAGCTATCTTACTCTTACTCTTTACTCTATACTTAACCTTTTTCCAACAGCAACAAAAAAAAAAAATAGCCGAGAAGGGATAATATATTCGGAGAGAGGGGGTGATTTTTTTGACAAAACATGTTGAGGGGTTTCAACCAATTAAACTTCATTTAAGTTTATGTTGTGATCGTGCAGCAATTATGGTGAATAGTAAAAAATCAAACAATTAAGAAAGCAGGAGAAAATAACATACAGAGATTTACGTGGTTCGACAATGTACCTACATCCACGAGAGCGAGCGGCCGTTCTTTTCCATTATTGAAATAGGGTTACATCTTAAGTATTTACATAACCCTAATATGGACGTATTTACAAAAATACCCCTGTACCGTACCGCGGGGGCGTTGCCCTCGCACCCCCAACTAATCAGCGTCCCTTTATATAAATCCCGCAAGGCAGATGCCGTCGCGGGCTCCGCTCCGACATCTGTCTCCTTGCCATTATGCACACAGCAAATATGAGCCACACATACTCTAACAATTTCCACCTTGGCAAATATTCACCCTTTAGAAAAAAAAAAAAAAGAGGACATGTATTCGGGAACTCCACCGGGGACGCTGAGTTGAGGCATCTCCCATCTAGCAACTAGAGACATTAATCAAGTCCAAGCAGTGCTTGAACTTGTCTGTAGTAACAGGCTTTGTCAACATGTCTGCTGCATTCTCAGAAGTGTGAACTTTCTCAAGTAATAGTTCACCAGAAGAAACCAGTTCCCTGATCTTATGAAACCTCACATCTATATATTTGGTCTTTGCATGATACACCTGGTTCTTTGCCAAATAAATGGCACTCTAACTGTCACAATGCAATTGAACTCCATCCTTGCTGGGCACCCAGCTCCTTGACTAAACCTGTAAGCCACAAAGCCTCTTTGGCAGCCTCAGCTACTGCCATATACTCTGACTCAGTAGTAGATAGTGCAATTATAGGTTGTACCATGGACTTCCAACAAATAGGTCCTCCCACAAGAGTAAACACATAACCTGTGGTAGACCTCCTGTCATCCAAGTCCCCTGCATAGTCTGCATCCACATATCCCATAACTGAAGGGTCACTCTGTTGTCTGCTAAACCTGATGCCATAGTCTGTAGTGCCCCTCAAGTATCTGAAAATCCACTTGACTGCATCCCAATGCTGTCGACCCGGATTTGAAAGAAACTTGCTAACCACGCTGACAGCTTATGCCAAATCTGGTCTTGTACAAACCATAGCATACATTAAACACCCCACTACACTAGCATATGGGACCTTTGACATGCCATGAACTTCATCATCTGTCTTCGGACAATGAGCGGTAGACAATCTGAAATGATTCGCCAAAGGTGTACTTACTGATTTTGCATAACTCATGCTGAACCTGTCCAACACCTTCTCAACATAGCTATGTTGAGATAGCCATAATCTTCTGGAAGCTCTGTCCCTGCGAATCTCCATCTCAAGAATCTTCTTGGCCGCACCCAAATCCTTCATGTCAAATTCTCTACTCAACAAAGTTTTCAACTTGTTGACCTCACTCATACTCTTGGCAGCAATCAACATATCATCCACATAAAGTAACAGAAAAATAAATGAATCATCATCAAGCCTTTTTACATAGACACAATAATCATACTCACACCTTTTGTAGCCAATTCGGACCATGTAAGAGTCAAATCGTTTATACCACTGCCTCGGAGACTGCTTCAGCCCATAAAGTGATTTCTTCAAATTACAGACCAAATGTTCCTCTCCAGGGAGACTGAACCCTTCTGGCTGTACCATGTAAATCCGTTCCTCCAAGTCGCCATGAAGGAAAGCTATCTTTACATCCATCTGCTCCAACTGCATATCTGAATGTGCTACTAGTGCCAACACTGTCCTGATGGAAGTGTGTCTGATCACGGGGGAGAAGATCTCATCATAGTCAATCCCTT